TAGCCTTCAAAAGGAACTTTTGGTCCGCGAGTAAACAAAGTTGTTAAGTGTTCCATTTATCAAGACCGATATCAGAAAGGCTCCAATCTAAGTATGTCTGAGCACTTTCTAAAATATGCAGTCTTAGCGAGCTACCTTGAACCTAAGATGCCCGATGTCGAACTTATAGACGCGGTGAAGTTTCATTTCCCAATCTACGTCCAAAATAGCTTCGCTGCCGCTCAGCTAACCTGCATTCAGGACACTTTGGATCTCCAAAAGCATCTTGAAGGGATTGAAATGTGTGAAGGACAACAGCAGTTAAACTCAGCCGGTACCTCGCAAAATCAGGGCCACGATAGGTCGCACGGAAACGCAAATGATCGCAGCAGTAACAATAGGCCACGGCCGCAGAGCCAACAAGTTAGTTTTACACCTGCATTTACATTCACTGCAGGTGTAAAACAGGGTGATGGAGTATCAACAGTACTCTTCAATCTTGCTCTGCATCAAGCTGTTAATAAAATAAATCAAAAAAGGGACAATCTACTTTAAATCTAGCATACGCAGACGACATGGCCATTGTTACCAGGAATATAACAACTCTTAAACAAATGTACTTAGAACTGGAGAAGGAAGCTGGAAGGTCTGGTTTAGTGGTGAATGAAGGGATAACGAAATATATGGTCATGTCAGCATCAAGTATCAAGAGGATACCACAAAATATCAACATAGGTAATAGGACATTTGAAGGGGTGAGTCAGTTCAGGTATCTGGGAGCCCTGGCCAACAGCCAAAATGAAATAAGTGACTGTATTAAAGATAGGATACAGAATGGAAATAGAGCATATTATGCTAACCTAAAACTTCTCAAAAACAAGCTGTTAAAAAGGAACACCAAAGGTAAAATATATAGAACACTAGAGCGACCAGTCGTCACATATGGATCGGAAACGTGGACATTAAAAACCGGAGATGGGAATGCACTGAGATGGTTTGAGTGAAAAATCTTACGTAGAATATTTGGACCGGTCCAAGATACAAATAGCTGGAGAATAAGATATAACCAGGAGCCTGATAGATTGATAGAGGGTCAGGACATAGTGAGATTCATCAAGGCACAGAGATTAAGGTGGCTGGGCCACATAGAACAAATGCCAGAAATGCAGATGCCAAAAAGAATGCTGAAAGGAAGACTTGATAACAGAAGAAGGGGATGTCCTAGGATGAGGTGGATAGAAGATGTGACTGCGGACCTGACGACAATGGGAATTGGAGGATAAAAGCGTCTGGAGGACAGTTGTCAATGAGGCCGAAACTCACCAAGGGTTGTACAGCCAGTGAAGAAGACTAAGCCATCCTCAAACAACGAATTTGTAGATTTCATATCATTTGGAGAACTTATCAATGTCCTTAATCATTCAAAAAATAACAAATCACCCAGCGAGGATGGTATACAGATGGAGCTTTTCAAATATGCTGGAGAGAACTTTCAATATAGATTCCTCTATATTTTAAACTTAATTTGGCAGGGTGGAATCCCACTAGAAACCTGGTAAAGAGCTGTAGTAGTACCATTACATAAGGAGATATTAAAAAATGCGAAAGTTACAGAGGGATCAGTTTACTAAACTCAGGTTATAAGATATATGCCAACATCATAAAGAACAAACTTTACGAATACTACAAAGAAAATTTGGGAGAAGAACAGAACAGATTTCGAAGAGGACGCTCTTGTTGTGACAGCTATTTCCCTTTAAAAATACTAATAGGAAAACACAGGGAATTTAATATTAAAACCCATTTAGCTTTTACTGATTTTGAAAAAGCTTTCGACAATGTTAATAGGAACATTCTTCTGGACATTCTAGCCGCTGATAACATACATGATAAAATAATCGATGCTATATGCAACATATATAGTAACGACAAAATTTCAGTAAAAACAGACTCTAATCCATCTGAATGGAAATCAATTAACAAAGGAGTAAGACAAGGCTGTGGCCTCTCCCCTCTTTTATTTATAATCTATATGGATGCAATTATCAAATGCTGGAGAGGGGGAAACTATGGAGAAATACCAATAAACAGAAACGTAATCTTAGATACACTACTATTCGCAGAAGATGAACTGCAGTGTGCAATATATAGTCTACAAAAGACTGCCTCAGATTTTGATATATCAATATCTATTGAAAAAACTAAAATTATGGCAATTTCAGGCAAAGACCCTGTCAGTAGCAAAATCTGTATAAACATTACAATTCTAGAACACGTCAACACATTTAATTATTTAGGGTGCATCCAATCTTAAGGTGGTGAGAAAGATATGCCCTCAAAAATATCAAAATTTATACAAACAACCGGAGTCATAAACCAAGTCTTCAAACCCTCCTTTGTACAACAACATACAACATCTAGCACGACCGGTACTACTGTATGGAAGTGAAGTCTGAACAATTAGAAAGGCGGATGAGCAGAGATGAACTTTATGAGGAAAACTGCTGGCTTTACACTTTTGGACCATAAAAGAAATGAAGAAAGTCTAGAAAAATCGAAAGTTGAACCAGTCTCCAAATTTATTCAGAATTATCATGTCAATTGGAAAGATCACATTGAAAGAATGGACTCTAATAGAATCCCAAACCAACTTTTGAACAGAACGGAAACAGAAGCCTGGGAAGACCGTTAAAAAGATGGAATGAAACCGTAACAGGCCACTTGCCCTAATACTTGATGAACATGATGATGATCACCGATTTAAAAGGGTCTTAGTGCTGTGTACCCAACTATGCACTGTTTGCTGCGAGGAGCGCCATCAGAATAGCAGACGTTTTAAACAGTTAGTTCACCTATTTGGGCAGTCAAAACACAAAGGACATTCAAAACGTTTTTTATGTGTGGGTAACTCGACATATCACACTTTAGCTTGAATGAATAAAATTTAAACCAAAATTATTTTTTTACCCTTTCCCATCCATTCAATTTTTGTTAATATAAATACATTTTGTGAAAAACCAAGATAGTTTTGACATTAAGATTTTTAAATCTCTCAGTAGTGTAAATCTGTTGTGAATCTCTCCTATTTTTAAGAAATGGGACAGTGGACCCCAAGATCATGTTTTTCCATAGCCTCACCACTGCCTTAAAGTGGCCCTGTATGGAAGGTATGATAATTGTTCATAATGCAATTGTAGTCTGAGCATGTAACAAAATATGTTTGTGCCTTGATGTGAATAAATCTGATGTCCTTACTTGTTGTATGTGTAATTACTCTCAACCTTTTTCTTTTTTATCATTTCAGTTTTATCTTCTATTTTTTACTTTTAGGCATTTAGGCATTACTTAGTAGGATTTGAGGTTTTCACGGCAGTGAATCTGAAGATGGCTGTCTTCCAGGTTGTTGCACCGTGTAGCCCTGTAGAAGTTTATAGACATTTCAGGTGCGTTTGCTGCCTCCATCATCAACGCGATCACCCTGATGGAGGCAGGCAGGGACCTCTGAAACATTGATTAGCTTCTACCAGACTACACAGTGCAACAACCAAGAAGACAGCCATCTTCGGGCACATTTTGTGTAGAAATGTTTTGTTGAATTATACAGAGTGAATGTCAAGTGTCTTCGAATTCCTTATGTTATGCAGTCCCACACAACACTTGTTTATCAGTGTTTGTTTATTACATGTTCTTTCGCAGAGTGCATAGCCAGAACGCATTATCAGATGGTTATATCTGTCCATCAGTCCAACCAATTCAACTAGAACCACTGGATGTATCTGGATGAAATTTGATGTGGCAGTTGGTGCTATTCTACACAACGTAAGAAACGTATTTTGAATATCCTACGGGCGGTGATGATGAAATGACAGGCGAGGAAAGTCGATAGGCAGACACTGAGATACTGCAATCTCGTGGCCTAAGTGAGAACTATTGAACAATTGGGATTTAATACCTCTTTCTAAATGTAGCCTGAAAAGAACGCATGAGGATATTTTGCATATTCCTGTACGGTATACAATTTCTGAGATTTTTTTTAACTACAGCAAGACTTCACCCCTTCCTTTATTTTTTTTTGTCATTCCATGAAATCGTTTTTAAAGTTGACTGTACTGCATTACAATGTTTCTATAAATGCCATACACAATAAAACCACAAAGTGGTTTTTAGTCTGTTAATGCACAGCATACGTTTTTGATTATTCTGTATTTCCATATCAAGCACCTGGTAGGAAAGCGGCACAAGAGAGTTCAATATATTTTGCTCGACTGCATAACAAAAAATTCGAAGGCCTAAACATTCACCTTAACGTTCGTATATGTAGAGAAGTCTCCCAATTAAAATGTTTGTTGCAATTTGCACACCATTCTTAAAAGATACTGAACCTACATGAAAAATTTCATCACTGAACTCTGCAGAAAAACTGAATTACTTAAATATTTCTGAGGCCCTATTTCGCTCATGTGGTTCTCAAATAAGCAACCAAGACCCAGATAAGGATGGGTTGGCCAGTTGGTTAACCATGGATTATTCCATTGCTGGGTATGAATAGCGCTTGGTTTGGTACCACAAAACTGATCTGCATATCTGAACCCATAACATAGGAGACCAACCGATCAACGGGTTGCTTCAAAACTCTTTTTTAAATGAACACTCCAAACATTCCAGTTTGTTTCTGTTCATTAAATGTTAAAATAAAAAATAAATCAGTAAGGAAAAATTACGTTGTCACAAAAATCACATGATCTTAATATTGTGACAACCGGCAAACTATTCACACCGGAAGAATTTCTTAACGGAACCAATTCTCAAATTCAGTACATATTTCGCAGTTTTTAAATGCTTTAAAATCTGTCTCAGCCTGAATTATGATGTAATTAGAGCCCTCTTCAGCGTCCTGAGCATTAGCAGCAATAATCTTAGGTAGACTGTCACACGTTCTGCAGATTTCTCCATCTGTATATGACACTGTTGGTTACACAGCCATGGTTCTGTGGCACAACAAAATGTTCTCACTTCCCTACCTTTCGGTGGGACTGGTGTTTGTTCCTTGTTCTTACTGCGACCAGCAGATGTACCACCACTGTACCTGGAGCTGCTACAGCAGTCGCACCACCACGCGCAGGACACCAGTAGCTATCAGCTGTTTTCATACCTTTGGTCACACTCCGATGACCACCGTTCCCCTGGAACCAACATTTTACTCTGTAGTTGTACAAGTATTAGATGTAATAATTTCTAGCAAACAAAAGACTACAAAATTTTCAACTGAATGTAAAAAATTTAATTAATATAAAAATAATGAACATCTCATGGCAAATTCCCATATGGAAGTTAGGTCTTTAAAAAATGGCCTCCCCCCAAAATCGCACTGTAATGCTAAATTGTATAAAAACAAAAATAAGAAGAAGAACAATTCAATTCGTTCACTGATGTCCTTTACAACAGCTGAGAAGCCAAATGAATGCCCCATTAAGTATATCAATGCTCCTATAGATGGTGTTGAAAGCAGAAACACATTTGGCTGCGGGAGTGATCTTGAAATTACGAAGCACAGTACAAGCAGAAAAGTCTGATTGATCCCACTGGGTATGAGCATTATGACAATCCAAAGTGGATCAGCAACCTTTAACACAGTTAACAATAAAAATGGCACAAACTTGGTTCTAAAAAGCAGTGGTGAGAGATTCAATCCAAGTAAAATATCTTCATACTTACAGTTACAAACACCATTAAAATCCCACATAACATAAAGCAGCACCAAACTATTCAGAACTAACCTACTAGATGGCTCAGAGAACCCAAAGGTTCATCACCAAATTAACAGAAGCCCTCCACCAGTCCCTGTCCTGGGCAAACAAAATCCAGGATCCTTCAACTCTCAACTCCCATCTCCCATAGATCTCACCTGAGATTATCCTTCCATCTACATCTAGGTGTCCCTGGCAGTCTCTTCCCCCCAGGCTTCCCAACCAATACCCGGTGGATAACTCTTGCCCCATCCATGCGTGCCACATGCCCCGCCTATCTCATTCTTCTTGTCTTAATCACCCTGACAATTTTGGGGGAGGAGTATAAATTTTTAAGCTCATCATTATGCAGTTTTGTCAACACCACATCCTCTTCTGTCCTAGGTCCAAATAACATCCTCAGCACCCTATTCTCGAACACCTGCAATCTGTGTTCCTCCCTCTGAGTGGGAGATCATGTTTGGAACCCACACAAAACAGGCAAAATTACTGTTTTGTACATTTTAATCTTTAGGTTCTTAGAAATCAGACAAAATATTTTGAACTAAAAAGTAGCAAGCATTTCCAGAATTTAGTCTTCTCCTAATATCCTCGGGAATATCATTATCATTTTTTACTCGATCCCAAATATCTGAACTCTGTCACACTTTCAAAGAACTTATTAACTAACTAACTAACTAACTAGATGGCTTACCGAACCCGAAGGTTCATCACCGAATTAACCAAAGCCCTCCACCGGACCCTGTCCTGAGCCAACAAAATCCAGTTTCCTTCAACTCCTATCTCCCATAGATCCCGCCTGAGATTATCCTCCCATCTACGTCTAGGTCTCCCCAGCAGTCTCTTCCTTTCAGGTTTCCCAACCAGTACCCGGTGCAAACCTCTTGTCCCATCCATGCGCGCTACATGCCCGGCCCATCTCAATCTTCTCGACTTAATCATCCTGACAATACTGGCAGAGCAGTACAGATTTTTAAGCTCGTCATTGTGCAGTTTTCTCCACACCCCATCGTCTTCCCTCTTAGGCCCAAATATCCTCCTCAACATCCGATTCTCAAACACCTGCAATCTGTGTTCCTCCCTCTGAGTGAGAGACCATGTTTCGCACCCATACAAAACAACAGGCAAGATTATTGTTTTGTATACTTTAATTTTCAGGTTCTTAGAAATCAGACGGGAAGACAAAATATTTTGAACTGAGAAGTAGCAAGCATTTCCGGAATTTAGTCTCCTCCTAACTTCCTCACGAGTATCATTTTGATTTGTTATTGTTGTTCACAAATATTTGAACTTCGTAACCATTAATGAGATTTTTAATTGATTAATTTTCGTTGTTATGTATGCTTATTTAAACCAATGAAAGCGGTGTCTGAACATTATTAGTTTCATCATTAGTGCACATTTGCAGTTGCTTCGTACACCGAATAGACCAGACCGAGTCTCGAATCAAACTGTTTAACTACTTCTAGCCCCACCTGTCTACTAGCCTCTAGTAAAACTTCTGCGTTCCTCTTTATTGTATTTATATCGTCCCCCAATAAATTACCATCATCAGCATATGCCAATAGCTGATGTGTCCCGTTCAATTGCAAACCCTCCTGCCTACCTTGGACCTTCCTGATGGCGTATTCTAGCGCAAAGTTAAAGAGCAAGGGAGACAAAGCATCTCCTTGTTTTAGACCGTTCTTGATGAGGAATGTCTCAGATACATATTTACCTACTCGAATTTTGCTACAGGTTTCATTTAAGCACATTTTTATTAGACTCACTAGCTTCTTTGGTATACCAGATACTAGAGAAAAAATGGGAGTTCGGTGGGGCCATACATCAGTTATTTATAGATTTCAAAAAAGCCTATGACTCTGTGAAGAGAGAAGTGTTATATAATATTCTTATTGAATTTGGTATACCAAACAAGCTATTAAGTCCAATAAAAAAGAGCTTAAATTAAACCTGTAGCAAAATTCCTATAAGTAAATATTTATCTGACTCAATTTCCATCAATAATGGTCTGAAACAAGAAGCTTTGTCTCCCTTGCTCTCTTTAACTTTGCACTAGAATACACCATCAGGAAAGTCCAAGATAGGCAGGAATGTTTGCAGTTGAATGGGACACATCAGCTATTGGCATATGTTGATGATGTTAATTTATTCGGAGATGATATAAAAACAATAAAGAGGAACAGAGAAGTTTTACTAGAGGCTAGTAGACAGGTGGGGCTAGAAGTCAGTTCAGAAAAAAAAACTAAGTAGGTGTTAGTATCTCATCAGCAGACAGGCAGGCAGAATTTTCTAAGGGTGGCTAATGAATCCTTTGAAAGTGGGACAAAGTTCAAACATTTGGAAGCAATGATAAATCAAAATGATATTCACGATGAAGTTAGTAGGAAACTAAATTTTGGAAATGCTTTCTACTTTTCAGTTCAAAATAATTTGTCTGATTTCTAGGAACCTGAAGATTAAAATATACAAAACAATAACTTGCCTTGTTGTTTTGTATGGGTGCAAAACATGGTCTTTCACTCTGAGGGAGGAACATAGATTGCAGGTGTTTGAGAAAGGGTGTTGAGGATATTTGGGCCTAGGAGAGAATATAATGGGGTATGGAGAAAACTGCCCAGGATAGGGTTCAGTGGTGGGCTTTGGTTAATTCAGTGATGAACCTTAAAGTACTGTAAGCCATCTAGTTAGTTATGGATTCTTTGAGGAATTGCAAGGTGGAAACAACACCATCCAGTATGCAAAAACAAACTTGTGCAAAGAGGTTAGATTGCTGATGTTTTCTGATAACCTTCATGTGCTCTTGAAAAGTCAATTGTCTTGTCTTAAGGAGAAAAGCTTCCAGCATAATGTAAGTACAACTTAGTCTGTAACTTCTCCTTGAGGATCTCAAATATCAGCTTGCTAAGATGTTACATTAAAGTCACGATCGAGTCCTAGTATTGACAAAAACCTGTGTTGCATTAGCCAATTGGAGAATGAAGCTATACCTCAATTCTCCACGTCATCATAGCATGGTGCTTAGTTAAGCATCACAGATAAATTTGCATTGTCTATATAAGTTTAAAAAAACTGATGCTTGTCTCAACTTAAAAGTCTTTTATAATTATTACACAATGATTTACACTGCCTGCAGTATCTTATTCATAATTTTCTAAAAAATATATCATTTGAAAGAAAATAATTTACACAAATCTTATATTAAACGTTTTTAAGTGTGTTACTTGAATTCACATCTCAAGACCAAATACAGATTATGATGGAACAGAGATAATTCTGTGCACCTAATCCTCCTGTAAATTTCAAACACGAAACGCGATTTTGTGTAGGCCTACATATAGCAACATAAGACTATCACAAAATAAACAGAAAAATAGTGAATCTGGATTCAAAGTCACCTTAATCTTTGCTTCCATAAAAAGTACACATGAATGTAACTAAATTCCAACATGTCGACACCAGTGCATCTTTATTTTCTAATCCGTGACTCAATGTTTAACAGCACAAATAACCCTTCGTAATAACACGTTTCATATTGTTTTAACATAATGCACACTGCAAGACTCAGGAATCTTCTACTCCACAAGACATGGAGAACTTTATGCAGCATGCGATTGCGCAAACACAATTCATATTTACCAAATTCTCAACCGACATTTTAAGCGTTCGTAAAATAGAAGCCAACACAATAAATACACACAGCCACTTCAATAGTAATCTGTATCACAGTTGCCACACTCTATTACAAAGAAAACCATCGACACTAAAAAAAATATATTTTATTACGACATAACAATCTTACAGAACCACGCTACCAAGTCTAAGTATTAATGGATGTAACTTTGCAGATACGAGGAACAGTCAAAGAGCATCGTGCCAACCAAAGAGAACCAAATGTACATATTTAAAATATCTGCCATAAGTTACGTTTACTTTCTGCACTGAGTCTATTGCTTCTTATTTTTTCAGAAAAGTACATTGTAAATGAATCGTAATATAATTCTTAAAAACGATCTTCACTCTACTAATTTCATGGATTGTATGCCTTCACAAACGAATGACGCTCAGCTAACATAAGTGATGCACCAAACTGGAAGTTGGTAAACCTGGCCGTATAAAACAAACCCAAGATAATCATATGCTCTATAAGTGCTCGTGTATTTTTTCATACAGTCCTACCCCATGTACTCATTTTTTCCATCTAAAGACACAAAGATTAAAATATGAAACACTACAATTTTAACTGTTGTTTGGTATGGGAGTGAAATGTGGTCCGTCACATTCAGGGGTTTTGCATGAAAATCTCCACAGTTGGTTCCCTTCCAGTTTTATCAGGATGATGTAATCCAGGTTAAGGTTGGTGGGTCACGTAGAATGCAAGGGGGACATGATAAGTGCTTACAAAAAATTGGTTATAAAGCTTTTGAGGCCTTTTAGATCTTGGCACATAAAACATATTTTAGGGAATTAAAATCTAGATTGGACTGATCTGGTGCAGGGTAGGGACTGGCTGTGAGCTACAGCAAACTAGACAATCATTTCCATAAAGAGAAGATAATACCTTGACTAGCCAAGCCTATTATCAGCTTCTCAATAACTGTGCCCTATGGAGTATTTTAGTTGTTAAATATACAAAAGTACTTTTTTACAATTTTCTTACGAATAAAAAACAATTGGATTCATATTTCCTTGGTTGTTGTTGCCAATTTGATTCTCATATAAATGATATACAACCTTGTATAGACTTCCTCACCTTTAATATTACAGGAATAGGTTAATGTCAATGATGGACGTGCTAAATCAGGGTTGAATGTGGTTTTGATGAGAAGTAGAGGTATCATCATGACTGGTCCCTTTTCTATTATAAACAGAATGCCTCTTAAAACTGGACACACTTGCCAGTTAACTATCACAACTAGAATTCATACATTTCACCATACAACACACTCACTCATAATTTGTCAAATACAAATAAATGTTCACAATGCTTAATGTACTGCAACTTCAAACACCTCAAATTAACCTGACCCAATTTTTAAACTGCTTGCCTCAGTTTATTTATAAACTATTTATATAATTTAATTTCTTAAAGTTGGTTCCAATTCTTTTATAGTCATAAATTTGATTGATTTATGAAGAAACATCTGCTCTGTTTAATAACTGGTAACAAAACATGTGTAAGTTTAAAAATCTTGGAAGACCACAGCTTCTAAAACACCCTTCTCAGTTTCTCATTTGATTTAAAATTCCTCACAACTCATTGGAAGATTTCAGTGAGTCCCTTCTACTTATGAGGCTTCACCCCTCAGAGAACATCTCTGATTGGCTGGCTTCTCACAATGTACACTTTTGACCGTTGAAATCAAGGAAAGCCCTGCACCTTTGCCTTTATCCATTTTCCTTTAATTGTAGTTTAGCCAGTCTGTCACAGTTGAATCAAATGACAGGTCCAACTTGCATGCGATGAGTTCGTAACTGTGTCCTTGACTGCTAGCTCTGTGCAATGTATACACTTTATAATCCTATATAAAAACATCCAATAATATTGCAGAAAAATGAGTAACAAACAGAAAGAATCATTCAGAACAGCCGCACTTGTTTCGGATCGCTGCATGTTCATTTGATCTATCGGAGACCACTGGTTTGTCTTGCAGTCGTATCTTTCAGCCGTTCTGTGATCCTGATGATAATCGTAACCACCTATGGCGTACACTGAATGTCGCAGAACTTCCATCATTACACTGGATCTGAAACGAAAAAGTACTCGCTCTGCTATGCTCATTTATTGCTGATGGAGACGTATATATATTGGTCAGCAAGGGCGTATCCCGGGTACAATATGTGTACTTCGTACTTTGTATCGATAAGAATGTTCTATAATGTTCTAAAGTTTTTGTGAGTTTCTCCTCTGACACTTGCCTCACTCCCGGACTTTGGCTGATGCTTATTAATTATTTTTGAAATGGTACATATGAGGGGTGACAGTGTCAAAATGTCACAATGTCACCTTTTCCTTATTAATTATGAAACTAGGATAACATCGGCGACAGTCCGAGTTACATAATTCGGTAACAGTGTTCACATACAAGACTTAATATTCATATGCTGCAACTAGCAACTAATATCATACCACCTGATATAACAATATTATATTACCTACAATAATAACATCCTATAAACTACTATGCAATTAAAACACAACAGTGGACCGAAATTGCTACACCATAGTGGGTGACCGGGCCTACCGCACTCGACAAAGACCGTGAGAAATTAACTTCGAGCATAGTTGGAATTATGAGAGGCGGAGGAAACAGGAAGACCCGAAGAGAAGCTCTCGTCAAGTACGACAAACAAATGTAAGATTTTTGATCAGCAGCTGACATTTCAGTTTCGTACGATGGTAAAGACACATGTAAGATTTGAGGTTTCCAGATTGGTGAGTATGAAGATTTCTGTCCTCTGGGTTTTGCGCTGTGTAGTCTGGTCGATGTTAACCATGATCTCTGAAACGTTGGTTAACATGGACTAGACTACACAGCGCAACAACCCAGTAAAGTAAGTAAAATAAAAGTGAAGCATCACACTACATACCATGCAGGCACTTGGAAGAAGTAGTGGTACAGCTCGTACTCTTACTTGACCTCGGTACTAGACAGGGGTGAGTGGTCAGCATCGCGCCTTGGCCGCGCTTTTACCTCCGGGAAAGGACCCCGGTGCCCTTTGGACAGGAGGCTGGGTGGGGCAGAGGCTTGAGGAATAATCCTCTTCCCCTTCAGAGAAAGGAGGCAGAAATCTTCGTAAAGACAGATGTTGGTCAACGAAGTGGCCGAAGCATGAAAATCCCCGCCCCCATTTTCGTCTTCTGATTAAGCCTAGAACGCAGAGTTTACTTCCAAGACATGTCTCCGACGTAAGTCCAACTTCAAATTTGCTCTTCTTACTTACCCAGTTTTGACGAAATTTGTCCGCATTTTAGCTATTCTGTCCTGAGACACTACGGAAGGATCGGTGGGTCCCAGAACGTCACTAATGTTTTGTGAAATTCCAGTGTCTATTTAGCGCCCCGCTCGCCCGTGCGTGATGTCGGCCATGTTTCTTGCAGTCAGCTACCACATGGTGACTGATGAGTAGCGGTCGGTCAGTGCACACAATTTCTCGCCCAACGCATGACAATGAACGGAATAGCAACAAAATCCATGCAGCATTTGGATGGCGAAGAAAGAAGCTGATAGGAAGCCCTGTTTTCGAAGTTGGTGTCTGTAAGAATATCAAAGGAGCAATTTCCTTTTGGCGTTGTCTAACATTCATTTATTTAGAGAAATGAAAGTGATTACAACTCATGTTTGTATAATCTGTGGTAACATCCGTCGCTAGGCATGGTGACCACGATGTAGTTCAAGATTAGCTATAGGTATTTGTTTCTGGCCCATTAGGGGGCATAAGACAAACATCCAAATTGAAGATGCCTGTCTTGTGTGTTATTGCTTTTCTATTGTTTTCTCTGCTTCGTGATGACGATTATAATAACATACCGATAAATTGCCTGAACTAGGCAGAACGCCGTCTTTTTTCCGTGCCCTTTCTTGAAATGAGTTTTACTTAAATGTTCAAATAAACACTGATAATTATCAGTGTTTTTTTCCCGAAAGCTTACTCGTGCAATATTTCTCTTGTTGTTTAGACTACATATTTCTGCTATTACATAACCATCATCAGGTCTGTTCTTAAATTACTGCATCATTTCTTAGCAGCATAAAATGTTACACTTGTTACAATTATTCAGTTTAATTTAAAAATTTTCAAACACTTTTTGTGTATATATATATATAAATCTTTGGGCTGTAACAGCATTTGAAAACAAAAATTTGCACGTAGATGATGGACACCAATGTTTAATAGTCCAAAAGATCTCAATATTGTATCCTTAATGCTATCAGACTATACTTTGAAGTGTTAAGACATGTTTTTCTTATTTTTAAATCCTATTCCTAGGATTGTGCAGTGACAAAAATTATTATGCCAGTGCTATATTTTCTTCAGGCATACAGAATTTGCACATATTTTTTTGTGTTTTTGTGAAAATTTGTGTCTTTTTCCTGAGAGTTTTCACAGATCTTCATATTTGTTACCAATTTTTATAATGTATATTAACCTTTTAGTTATGCTCACTCTTGGGGACAAAGTTCTCCACATGTGTCTAATAGCGGAGTTGACAAACCTGTGTAGAATTTTGTTTGGAAAATCTCAAGGCAAAGATTATTTGAGGGTGTTAGGTATGCATGGGAACAAAATGTTGAAGTGAATCTTAATAAATATAGGTTGTGAGGGCATGGAGTGAAATTAGCAGACTCAGGATAAGTTCCAGTGCAGACCCTTATGGACCTTTAGGTTGAATACAAGCCGGGAATTTCTTGATAAATAGAGTGATTATAAAGTTCTCAAGTAACACCATGTACCATGAACTTACGTAACTGTGGATGGGGGGATATCCTCTGAGTACAGAAAGCTGTCAGTCTATGACTAATTTGATGCTGGTCTTAAAATTCTAGTTACTGTAAATGGGTATTTAACATAGACAAAAAAATTGCTATTTACAGCTAGCAACTCTTTTTGTTGATTCTCTTTAAACATCTAAATATTTTGAGCTGAACACTGCCACTTTTTACTGCTCTGTACTTCCCATTTTTGAATAATGTAATTGGTGGATAACATGAAGTTACAGGTTTGGAAGCTGATTGCAATGCACAGCTTTGTTACAGTCCTCAGCTCCTTGGAAGATGGATATGTCAGACATTTCTTACAGGTTAATTTGAAAGAAGTGGGCCATACTTAGGCACAGGAGCATGAGGCCTCAGCCTGGGGCCCCACAG